TTTACCTAAAATTCTGCAATGTCAGAAGCATTGTCATTTCCTTGAAGAGGTCCTCGTTGAAAGACGAAAACACTTTCAAACCCTTCGTAAGAATCTCCACTGCTTTAGCATGATCGCCCCTAACATAAGAGGGAAAATTAATATCCCAGTAAACAAAAGCACAAAAAATCGTAGCAATCATATTCATAAATTTTATAGATAAATGCACAATAAAAGTAAAAGCTCACTTGTCAAGGGCTTCAAGAAACTTCTGCTTTCGGATCTCGAAGAAGACCTTCATGGAGTAACGGTTGTCGTCTACCTTTGTAAACCCTGATAAGTACTTTTCCACTTCCTCCCATTCTCCATTTGTCACTGCATCCTCAAAGTACCTCATGTTGAAGAAAAACCCCGATTCTTTCTCCAACCTACATCATTTATTTTTGGAAAGTCCAGAACAAATAATAACAACAATATGTCAAACAGAAAAAAGAAGTGATCACCCATAATAAATTTAAAGGAAAGAGTACAAAAGCCTTACTTGTGGACAGTTTCCTTGAATTTTTCCTCATCAAGAAACTGAAGTATTAAGAAAACGAGCTCTCTGCTCAGCGAGGACATCGTTTGGTAGAATCGAACAGTCCCAAAATTCCCGAATTGCTCAGATTCGCTAAAATCCTGGTAAACCAGAAAACCAATTCAAGGAACACAGAAAATCACATCAAAGTAATAATCCCAAAAACAGAAACGAAAAACATAACTATATTAAACACCATCAACGAACATAACACCTTGGAACCCTTGATTGAATGAAAAATAATAGATCGAGAATTTTGGCTTTATGGGAACTTTCTTCTCATTTTCCTTTCTTCTCTTCTTTTTCCACTCTTTACAAAGTGATTGAAAGTGCGAAGGAGAGATAGTGTTTCTCAAAGTTAATTGACGTTGAAAGCGAGAGAGATTCAATTATTAAAAAGAAATTAATGGTGTTCCCACGCTCGTAGAAGCGCGTGTATCAAAATGTACGCCAAAAAATGCCGGTTTACTCCACATGTTCGGTTCTCCTCGCGTAGTTCGTTACGTGGGGAATATCAATGAGGTGCAGGTGGTGGCAGGTGAGTGGCAGAGCGTAAACGCGAGTATTAAATGCACTGATAAGGTGTCGGTCCTATTTACTGGTCTTATAAGCGGAAGTTGTGATAAGTCCGTGTGGTTATCACTCAGCTCATCTTGTTTGCGTGGAATCGAATAATTTCAAAAAGGAATTTGATTCTCAAAAAATTCGCTATGGTGAAGTGACCAAAGGTGAATTACTACGATTCTATTGATTGTTCAAAATTATTATATTCCTATATGTTCCTTTTTTATCATGAATATTGCTATACATATTATTGATCCCAAAAAGTGTTGTCAACAGATGTCGGACCTATTCGCGCATACGTGAGCGAAGGTCCTACACGTTAAGACACTTGGACGGTCTGGAACGAACCTCTTTAGGGGCGTGGGGGTAACTCAAAGACGTGGGATGAGAACGTCTGGAATTCGACGGGAGGTTCGTAATCCGATTGTACAATAATTATCAATCGGTGTTCACGAATGTGAATGTAAATATATATGGATTTGTATTGTGTTGTAAGATGATATAAAAAGGGAGAGTAAAGTGTAATTTCTTGTATTGATTCTTGCATTAGCCTTTCGATGTTATACAAGGGAAGTATTTATAGTGTTACATGTGAAATGGCAGCTCTTAGATGAGGTGACACGTGGCCTCATCTTCTCAATTCAAACATCCAATCCTTGTTGGCGTGGAATCGAATAATTTCAAAAAGGAATTTGATTCTCAAAAGATTCGCTATGGTGAAGTGACCAAAGGTGAATTACTACGATTCTATTGATTGTTCAAAATTATTATATTCCTATATGTCCCTTTTTTTATCATGAATATTGTTATACATATTGTTGATCTCAAAAAGTGTTGTCAACAGATGCCGGACCCATTCGCGCATGCGTGAGCGAAGGTCTTACACGTTAAGACACTTGGGCGGTCTGGAACGAACCTCTTTAGGGGCGTGGGGGTAACTCAACGACGTGGGATGAGAACATTCGGAATCCGACGGGAGGTTCGTAATTCGATTGTACAATAATTATCAATCGGTGTTCACGAATGTGAATGTAAATATGTATGGATTTGTATTGTGTTGTAAGATGATATAAAAAGGGAGAGTAAAGTGTAATTTCTTGTATTGATTCTTGCATTAGCCTTTCAATGTTATACAAGGGAAGTATTTATAGTGTTACATGTGAAATGGCAGCTCTTAGATGAGGTGACACGTGACCTCATCTTCTCAATTCAAACATCCAATCCTAGGTGTTACTCTTGACTTGCTAGTTTGCTGCGCATTTATTGCTTGTGCAAAGCCCCCATGCTAGTGATAAGACCTGACATATGCACTTATGACAAATGTTCCATCAATCATTCTAACCAGATCTTTATGTAGGAGATCTCTTAGGAGAAGTGACCATGGAGGGATGTCCCTTCCTGGTTCAGAGTCTTCTGCTTCAGATTCAAGGCTCCTGCTAGACACGTAGTACTTCCGCTGTGAGGCTTTGGCAATCTTCACAGGCCTCGGTAGATGAGGCTCGGTTAGTTTCACTAGCTTCGGCATATGGGCATCGGCATTAATGGCGTCGGCCATTTAGCGCACTTCGGCTAGAGTGCCACGTGGTTCGAATTGAGTGGCCCATGTCGATTGACCAAGTATGACAACACGTAACACATATATTGCATGAATTTCATTTGTAATAAATATATTTCATTTTAGCGTGTATTAAATTATTTTATTTTAATTTGTTCAATTATGTAATTTCTAATTACACTTTAAACATTTATTTGTAGGAGATTTTTTAAAATAAGTTTTAACCTAATATTTGATGAGATTTATAACTTTTTATTACTATTTTGATCACGTGTTCAAAAAAATGGGAGAATTGTAGTCATGGTCCCAAACATTTATATTCTTCTTAGACTTTGCCAAAAAATTTAGTTTGTATTATTTACGATCCCAAACCTTTCATTTTGTTACAACACGAGAATAAATGGATGAATTTGATCGTTAGTTGACTCCCAAAATTTACTTTGATTAAATGTACAAAGGGCAAAATAGTAAATTTATAATTTTTCCACTGGTTAAATCCGTCAATGGCCACTCAACTCTATACTAGTATCACCATAGCACCAAATTTGACTTTATTTCACCATAGCCAACCAATTTAGTATACATTCCACAATAGCCATCAAACTTCTTTTCACATTTTTACTAATTTTCAAATGGGTAAAATGGTAACTTTGCATTTTATTTTAGAATCTTTTTTTTTTTTTGTGTGAAGGAACATTTTTTTAAATAAGTTTTTATTTTATTGTTCTAAGCAACTTCTTTAGGGTAGTCTGACTTATGGATCAGAAGCTAACGCTCGAAAAAAGCAAAAAAGAACGTAACCTTCGATACTTGCCGCCTGACTCACTCCGAAAAGAAAGATCTTTCACAACCACCAATAGGAAGACAAGTCAGTAGCTAACGAGCAAGAAAACGGATGCGCTAACGCGCCTTTTTCCTGTTACGGGTCAAAATCTTATTGCATGGGATATTCTCACAGCCTTACCTTCTTCCTTTCCTTTCTTGGCCTGGCTATATCTTATAAGTAAGTTTTTATTTTATTTTTTGAAGGAACTTTTTTTTTAAATAACTTTTTATTATGTCATAAGACCTTGTTCGTTTTTACTTGACTAAGTAGTATTTCACTTGTGCAATAGGTGTACGGCCCAGCCCATGGTCACCTCTTGTCAAAGTAGGCTTATGGGCAAGTCGCCTCCTCTCGCAATGGTATGGGGGCATCAAAGGTTGTTGTCCTAAGGCCAACTCGAAGAGGCTGAGCTTCGACACATCGATAATAGGATCGAAGTGGTTTTTCACAAATATCTGAAACAGTTTAGTGAGCAAGACGAGCATTATCAGGGCTTTTCGAGAACTAGATTTTTTCAATTTCGAATTTGATGCTTTGGCGAGACACTTGGCCTTAGATAATCTGGACATAGAGTGTAAATCCACAAACGGACTTCGAAAATTTATTACAAAATTTAATAACTACAAATGATTTGAGTTCCATATTGAGAAATTTCTTAGCGAACTTGAATCAAGAGGCCCTTTGGGATAAAACTTTATCACACGGATGGCCTTAACAATTACATTAAATCGCGTTGGTTGAAGATGACCTCATACGGTGTTCAGAACAAGCTTCGAAGTGAATGAATTAGAAAGAATGAAAAAGTAAGGAAATAAGACGGCTCTTTCTTAAACTATATCATGAACATAACTTCTCTTCTACACCAATCACGAGTTTTTAATTATTCTTCATGTATATATATATTTTTTTAAGTAACCTTTTTATTTTGTTAAAATAAGTCTTTATTTTATTTTTAAAAAAATTTTTATTATTTTTTTAACGTAACATCTTTTTAAAATAATTTTGTATTTTATTTTTTTACGTATCTTTTTTTAATAAATTTTTTTCTTAAATAAATTTTATTTCACATATTTAATGCAAAATTACTATTTTACTCCTTTAAAAAATAATGAAAATGGTGAAAATTTTTGGATGACCATGACGAAACGTCATATGAAATTGGGTGGATATGATGAAACAAAATCAAATTAGATGGTCTTGATGATACTAACCGTAAAATTAGATTGTCATTGATGTATTTAACCCATTTTTTCACATAAAACAAATTTAATAAATTAAATAAAAAGGGGGAAAAATAGAAGTAACTTTCCATCTTATTCCCACGCCCCATACTCCTCCCAACCCCATCTTCAAATGAACCCTACCAAATTAATCACCACCAAAGTAGTCATCATCACTGCCACAACCAATACAAAATTCGTCATCTTATCATGAATTTCATTATTCCAAATCACAAAATTTTCTTCAAAGCTGTTACAAGTACACTTTGATGTACATTATGGGTTATATTCATTCAAGTGACATCATGTACACCTTTTTTTCCCCACTCTTCCCACCAATGCACAAATTCTCCCTCATGCAAAGTGTACATCTAGCATTATTCAATTTTCTTTGAATTTATGAACATACAAATTTTTGAACCCTTCAGTACCATCCGTAACATCACTTGACAACATACCCAAATATTGTGCAACCTCAAGAACCAACTTGATATGAACTCATTCGTCAAAATCGCGCATTTTCCAGTGAACTTGTTCGTAATTTTACTACTGGGACCGTCTTTGTACACTTCATTGTTGACTCCTCAAAGAATGTTTTTGTTTGATTTCTTCCTGTATTGATCGCTAGTACCTGGCCATGCTTCTATGCCCCTGTTTGGCCTCGATTATTTGATGTTTTAATTTTTGGAGTAATATGTTTTCTTGGAGAATTGGTGGTTGAAAAAGAAAGAATTTTTTTTAGTTTATGTGTAATATTATTTTATAGGAGAATGTGATTAAAAAGAATAGACAAAAAAATGTATTATAAATTTAATGGGCTCAAACGAGGGGATATATATGTACATATATACACAAACACACGAATTTGATTTCCTAAACACCATACTTAGGTGGCACACTACAATAGGTGGTGTAATCAATTTTAAAACTAATCATTGTATTTCCCACATATTGTAATATGTCACATCACTCGATACTTAACATAAACTAAGCACCGGCGCTTAAGAGATCATGACTCTGTGTGTGTGTGTGTGTGTGTGTATATATATATATATATATATATATATATATAGGGGTGGGATGGTGGTGAAATCGTGGAAAGAGTCCCTGAAAGAATCAATTAACAATACACTTTTGTTCCCCAAGATAATTATGCGAAATTGGACTCCTTGAAAAATGATTCCTAAACCTTTAACTTCATAAACAGGAGGAGGTGAATTTTTGGGTTAATAAAACAAATATGGCTTTGGAGTTTGATGTTGATGTGATGTCTGGTTTGTTGATGAGGAGGAGAATAGATTAGAAAAGAGGCATTTTCAAGAATGTCCAAATATAAGGGTTGGAGTTGAAACGTGTACTTTTTTGATAATCCTTGCAAAAATGTCCAATTTTTAGATCAAAATGTCTACTTTACCCTCATGAAAAGATTAATCAATTTTATATCACTTTGGCACAATTTTTAAGAAGAGCAAATAACTTCCACGAGAAGCCACAATAATGTTGCTATTACCTAGGTGAGTCCACTTTCTTACATTTTTAATTATATTTTAATTAATTATTCTAGAACAAATGAAGAAGAAGCAAAAATTCTATTAACATGTACGAAGAAGTATATGATTCCAATTTCAAAGAAATCATTTCAAGAAATTTACTGTGGTAGAAATTTGAAGTTGATTAGGCTTTCATCATTTCTCGGTAGAAGGTATATTTTTTGGAACTCTATTTCTTCGAACTCTCATTTTTTTGATAAGTTTTATTTAGTAGTCGTTGTTATATATGTTCAAATCTCAATTTTTTGATAAGGTATTTTTTCCCTTCAATGGACGAAATTATCCTGAGTATATATTTTTTGTACCATTCATCTTAAATAACTTAGTTAGATAATATACTTCTATATTTAGAATATCATTTATGGTGGAATAAATTCTTGCAAAAATGGTGGTTGAAGTTGAAGAAGATGATAAATCCATGAAATCCTGTCATTTCATTCTCGACATTTTATAAATGTCGATAATGATAGTATAAATATCGTTCACGATATTTATAAACGTCGAGAATGATATTTATACTATCATTCTCGACACTGTCAACTGTTGATAATAACATTAAAATTTTGAGTAAGTTGGGAAAATTTCGTGTATAGCGATTCACATATTGCATGCAGGTAGCATTTTCGTTTTCGATTTTCGTTAGTAGTTGACAATATTGTTGTTTATGACATGCAGATATGGGAGATATTAAGAGATTTGTTGTCTCGTATGGTGATAGATTCATCAACATAGATGACGGGTGGAAGTGGTTAGGGAACCGAACAACATCAATTGTTGTTCGACATGATATTACATATGAAGAGCTTGTACATAAATTATTCAAGAAGTTGAGTGTTGATAGAATGAAATTCCAAATTCAATTGAAATTTACAATTCTGAACATGAATATACCCCCTGCTGATGTAGCCGATGATGAGCATTTGCAATGGTATATGTCTGTTCACACAGAAGCGGCGTGTGTGTAATTGCAAATGAATATAATGCTGGAGAGCACGAATTGCATGTCGGAGTTGAGCCTTTGTCACCAATAGAAGATGCATTGTGTGGACGCGATGAAGTCCGTATGTGCGAACTACAAGAGCAAAAAACGATTGATAATATGGATGAAAGTTTAGGTGAAGGCAGATTGTTTATTCGAAATGCAATTAAGTCGATTGATGAAGAGGACATTGTGGAGAATCAGATATTCTTTAGCAAACAATAGTTACACACAAGGCTTCAACTTAAGGCTTTGAAAGAGAAGTTTCATTTCAAGGTTAAAAAGTCAAATCCTAGATCTCTTGCTGTGTGTTGTGTCGATACTACATGCCATTGGCTAGTACGAGCTTCTAAGATAAAAACTTCAGAAATATTTACGATTCGAGAGTACATACCTGAGCACACATGTTCTCTAGACGTTTGACGAAATGCACAAATTCACGCAACGAGTGCAGTAATTGGGCATCACATAATGCGAAGGTTGGACGATGCAAACCAATCATACGTTCCTGCGGGTATTATTGGGGATATGGAACGTGAGTTTGGTGTACGGATTACCTATAACAAAGCGTGGAGGGTGAAAGAGAAGGAACTTAGATTTCTTCATGGTACACCCGAAGAAAGTTTCCAAAAATTGCCATCATATTGTCACATGTTAACCGAGAAAAATCCAGGAACTATTGCACACATTGAACTCGATTCGAATAATAGGTTCTTGTACTTCTTCTTAGCGTTCGGTCCTAGTGTACGTGATTTTCGAGAATACATGAGGCCAATAATTTGTGTTGATGGAAGTTATTTGAAGGGCCAATATAAGGGAACACTACTAGTAGCTGCGGTGCAAGATGCTAACCTACAAATATATCCTTTGCGTGGAGTTTTGTCGATGGGGAAACAAATACATCGTGGTATTGGTTCTTTACAAAGTTGAAAGATGTCGTTGATGATTCAAACCAGCTAGTGTTTATGTTGGACAGGAAGAAGAGTATTAAGCGAGCAATTACGAGGTTGTTCCCACTTTCTCACCACAGTACCTGCATCTGGCATATCGAGAAAAATCTTATTGCTAGGTATAGCAGTAGCAATGTCATCTTCTTATTCAAGCGGGCAACGCTAGCATACCGCGTATCAGAATTTGATCAGTTCATGACACAGATAAGAACCATTCGACCGTCAATGGCATCTTACTTGGAACGTGCCGGTATATCCACCTGGTCACAGGCACATTTTGTTGGTAATCAGTACAACGTTATGACGAATAACATTACGGAGTCACTGAATTCAGTCCTAAGGCGACACAAAAGTTTCCCTATAATCTCGTTGATCGAAAATATTACGTCATTGATAAAACGATGGTTCTACGAGAGAAAAAGTGCATCCACGAAATGTAGTACGACTGTGACACCAAAAATTGATGATGAATTGAGAAAATCATTCGACGCCGGTGCAACTTTACCAGTACGAAATTTGGATGAACTCGTTTTTGAGATAGGTATAGCTACCGAACTTTGTACTACCGACCTTATAAATAACACATGTTCATGTCGAGAGTTTCAGATGCGACAAATCCCATGTTCACATGCATCCCGAGCTGCTTGTGCAAAAGAAAAATTATTGTATGATTTGTGCTCCCCTTACTACACCACATAATATTGGCGAGCTGCGTACAACAAAGTTCTTCACTCCGTTGGCCGAGAGTCAGATTGGGTTGTTCCTCAATCTATTCATTCCATCGAAGTTTGGCCCCCGAATATACGTAAAGCACCAGGTCGACCTCCTACCCAACGTCAACGGTCAAGAACTGAAAGGTCGACGTTGAGACGAAAATGCGGCCGATGTGGGGGTTCTTGACATAACAGGTAAACATGTCAGAATTCGACATCTTTAAGTGACACGTATACTTGAATGACATTGTGTATTCCAATCGTCAAATGCCCTGATAACATGAATTATCAATGTTTTGAATTTTTTTCTTTTGTATTACTTGCTTTCTACCTCTTGTTTTAAATGTTGTTGAATATATTTTTGATTTCTACTTTTTTCTGTTTCTTTCTTCGTTCTCTCTTGACATCACTTATTTGCAATTGCTTGTTGTAAAATTAAGTTTGTAATACATTTTGAATCTTTTATACGGATTCATCCCCTTTTTTGTGATTTTTCTCTTATATTATTCTAGTCGTTCAAAATTTTATAGCGCACAAATAGGAAAATTCGTATGGGCATTCACTAAATACAAACAACACTTCATTTTAGAATGTCATAATGGATACAAACAAGAGAGGCCAGGTTTGGGGTATAACTACCAACAAGGGAAATGGTGCTTACATATATTCTTATGAGCATTTTACTACGATATCATTTTGTTCATCATATAAGTGAACAAGCACATATCTATTTCATCACTGGGATTTTCTTAATCATTGTAGACACAATGTGGTAATGGATACAAAAGCAACCCATGAATGACTCGTTCTTCTAAGTCATTGGAGCAGACAAAATGGTAATCACAACAAAAGGAAGCCATAACTCCAATACATATCGTAGACAACTATTATACAAAATGGTGATCACCCCAAAAAATATCCATCACCTATATGGATTTTATAGCACTACTATATGTAAGTAAACATTTCACTTACGATGACTGCATCTTCTACATATCCTCCACGACGGACAAAGAGAACATATCACTGTCATACTCCTTGTCGGAGCTTATGATGATCACATCTTCATTTTCAACGGGAACTGCTCCAACATTTTCATCCAACAACACATGATGTGCTTCCGGTTGGACCGGTACTGGGATGATCTCACGATGAACTTGAATTGGTTCAATTTCGTCGATTAGATTTGGAAAAGGGATTGGTTGAAGGCAAACCCTACGATGGCGGTTCGAAGGTTGACGAACATATGGAACGAAGATATTGCTTTCATCATCCGAGTCCGAGTCTATGATGATCGGGTTGTTCGCGGACGACCCGGGGGGTCGAAAGTGATAGTAACATCAAGAACAGGAGTATGTTGAGTTGATGAAGACATAATCAATGGAAAAACTAACTAGTGCTATGAATTTGTTAAATTCTCGAATGTACATATTTAAGTAAAGTCTAACATTTTATAGTGGAGAAACACTTGTCCTTTGAATGCACGATAAGATATCTCACCAACCAATATGGTTGAAGTCATTCATGGTGATTATTTTACAACTTTCTTCACATCAATGTGGTTAAGAACGTACTTGTGCTTGGCATACCAACTTTAACTGCTATAGAAATTATAAACCTGTAGATGACGAAGCCTGTGTGTATTTCATCTTCTTTTCCCTTTCTCTTCTCCGCATGTCAATACTTTCTGCTAGTTGAGACGTTGATGTCTTAGGCGGTTGAACAGTAGGATTTGGACTTGTATGGAGAGGAACATCCTGCTGCATGAAACCTATAATGGCTTCCATATTGGATTTCTAGTTAGATAATCTGTTTAGCATATTCTCATTCTTTTCGTCAATGTAAGATCTGACAGAACATAAACTTGTATCAATATAAGACTGTATGTGCTCTTGTTGCTATTGGAATAATTCTTCTTGTTTTCGAAGAATCGCCTGATAATGGGCTTTTTGTTGTTACGATTCCTGAGCCATATGAGTGCTAAACATATTTGATAGAGAATTATCCATGTATGACTGCATACCACATAGCATGTAATCTTGCATCGATTTGTTATGTTGTTCGAACAGTTGCTTTTGGCTTTCAAGGATATCCTGGTTCAGGGCTCTGGATTCTTCAACAAATTCTGCCTTCAAGTTGCCACACAGACTGGACACATCTGATATCGTATGTTGCCTGTACATACCCAACATTTCTTCCATTTAGTTTTCAGTTACATATCTGGAGGCACCAGAAGCAGAACTAGGCTCAACTCCAGTTGAAGTTCTCGATGTACCACAACTGGTCGTTTCTTGCACATGGATGTTATCCGGTATTTTTGGTACTACATTATCTACTTCTCCAGTGACAATGGCATCTAATATATTATGTTCATCATCAGCCGACAGTGAAAGATTTATGTACCAGGGTGTTTGTAATTCTTCCTCCGTAGGCTGCAGCACTGACAAACTATCAGAATCCATTTGTTTAATTGAACTTGTTAATAATAAAATGCGAATGTCATTCTACATTGAAAATAAAAAATTCATACATCTTGAGTATCCAAAAATTGCTTAACAACCGATTCTTTCAGTATAGTATTAGGCCTCCAATTATAGATTCGTGGAATCTGCACCGTTCTGTATTTACGATGATCAAATTTTTGTCCAATTCGTGGAAACGCTTCATATATCCAATACTGCAACGTAAAGAAAGAGAAATGTGATGTATAAATTTTATTCTTTGTACAAAGAAATTATACATAATACGTAAGTAATTAGAATAGGAACATAATACCTGAAATGCGATTGGATAGCATTGTAATGCATACTTACATTCTGTTTGTCCATTCTATTGCATCCTTAGTATTCTTTCCAATTGTGACTCTTTCAATAAATTTAACAAAATGAAATATGCTATCCGGCCCAACGGTTACGTAAGGAACTCATCCAAATGTTCAACCATGCCCAGAGTTCTATAATCAACATGTCGTGAAGTCGGTTTCAACACACACTCAACCAACATAACTAATCCCAGCTTAAATTTATCTTCTGTATCTTCACACATGTGAAAAGTTTCAAAAATCATTTTATTGCTAATTTTTTTGTGCCATTGAAGTATTGATTTCTAAGACGATCGTTATTATAATCAATTTCTACGGATGGTTCATGGCAAGGTAGTCCAGTAATGAGGCAAAATTTTTGCGAGCCAAACCTAGCAAGATGGTCATCTAACCATATCCAAAGTTTATTGTTTTTGCCACAATGCACAAGTCTCATTATAAATTCGTGTACCAACTTGCTAGTAAATTGTTCTTCGTCTCCTTTGAAAACAGCTCCATATATAAATCTATAAAAATTACTATACATCAAATAACATTGTTGATTTGCATCTATAAAATTTACAGAATCTTTAACGTATTGACGATTTGGATACTAAAGGATGGTAGCAGAAAACCATTGTTCTGGAGAGAGAACGTATTCTAAAGACATCTGCATCAATTATACAAGAATTAATATTTTTAAACAACTGTAATTATTTTTTCAAGAATTAATATTTTCATTTGATTGTACACATCTATTATAGTAAAACAAAGTACTGTTAATTGTACAATTATTTAAGAATTAATATTTCCAAACAAATATAATTTTTTTCACGTTTTGTATACTAAACAAAATTAAAATTTAAAATTAATATTTTAAACAAAATGTAATATTTTTGTTTACATATGACGTAAAACATACTGGGTGGGTAATTACAAAAAAAAAAATATGGTGGTTGCAGAGACAGCTGGTCCGTGACACTTGAGAGTGTCACGGAGACGCTGCTCTCCGTGACACGGAGACGAGGTTTTTCGAGTAAATTGTAGCACAATTATTAAGTACAAATTTTAAATTACTTACCTTTTCCGATCAAATGATCGTCTTTTTTGAGTGAATGTGGGAAATGTTTTCGGCTAAATGAATGTGAGAATGAAACTTGAATTAAAATGTGTAAAGAGTGAGTGAATGTGACAAATAATTGTAGCTAAATATGTGGATGGGGGAGTGATTGAGAATGAGGAGCTAAAATTAATTAAAACGTGTGAAGAGTGAGTGAATGTGACAAATAATTGTAGCTAAATGTGTGGATGGGGGAGTGAATGTGAGGATAATGAGTGAACGAGAAAAAGTAGCTAAAAGTGTGCATGTAAGTAAATGTCAGAA